GAAACATTTTTTGGTGATACTAGCTAGTTATTAGTCGTGCCCTAATTCAGGCAGGGCTCGCCAGGGCATGCTTTGTCGCCCGAGAAGTCAATGGGCATGTTCGAGGTTGGGTGGCTGAACAGCCAGGCAGCTCCTACGCTAGTAGGTTGGAGCCTATCGCTAGCGTCGGGTGGAGGCCATCTCTAGTAGGTTGGAGGCCATCGCTCATATTTGTTTGTTCCATTTTCTATATTTCGCAGACCTTACCCTATAGCTAGGGCTCCTGGCCCATATCCTTAGAAGGTGGTTAGACCCCCTGGCACCCACCCCTGGCCCACCAAACCTCAGGAGGTGGTTGGAGCCCTAGGGTTAATACTGCTGGGTCAATGGGCTTGTTCGAGGTTTGGTGGCTGAACTGGAGACTTCCCGTTGGCCTGTTACACAACGGGCCCGGACTGGCCCGTTGTGTTTGGTGCTGAACATCAGGTGCTGCTCCGAGCATCGGGTTCGTACGAAGAAACACTGCGTGTGTCGGTCATGTTCAGGTTTTGGGGTGCCAGGAGCCCCTACATCGTAGCGTCCGATCGCTCCGTTCGAGTCGCGATGCCAGTTTCGCCCCCTTCGTAGCTTCTTTGCTCCTAGTTCAGACCTGGTGTTGGCCCCGCCTCTTACCCATCCTTCCATCGGCCCCCCGCATGCGGCCCGCGGCCCTGAGGGATATGGCAGAAGATGAGTCCATTGGTTCCCGCTTGCATGGGCTGCTGGGCGTTGAAAAACGCGGACGACGAAGCTCGAAAACCTTGGAAACCCCGAAGAAGCCGCATCCTCCAAGTGCTCCAAATGCTCCCTTCCTCCCTCCGTGGAAGCCTCGGTGGGACATGGCTGTGGTGATCTGTGGTGCCTATATTTCCTGGTCGGCTAAACAGGTTGGTCTCAGTACGACTGGATCTGCAGATGCATGTGGACCTGTCCTGCCTGGGTAGGTGCAGCAGGCCTTCGACGCCTCCCCTGCGAGGCGAAACACGGTTCATGTGTCATTACATCGGGCATGGAGTTCAAGTGGAGACATTACTTGTTTTGTGTTGCGTGACTTTTGTGTTGTTTGAAGGTGGTGGCGGGCCTCAAAGCCATTGGCAAACACAAAGCAGGCGGCAAGCCATTGACCTACGGACGTGTGTGGATCACCTGCAGGGAAAACCTGCAGTGTGAGAGATTGGGGACAGAAACCCCACTTAAATCCAACAGGGTGGAACATGGTGGACACTTCGGTCACCCTTGGTTTGGTCCAAAAACTCTAGGGCTCCAACCATATCCTTAGAAGGTGGTTAGACCCGCCTAGCACCCACCCCAGTGGTTGGAACCCTAGCGCAGAGTCAGATCGAGTTTTTGGGACCATTCGTATCATTAGTTGCGAGATTGTTCTTAGCAGCTAACCCTTCTTGGAGTTGAGGCTTGCAACAAGTCGTATCAATGTAGTACAAAGCATAGCATAGATTAGCATAGTATATATCCCCAAATCGTTTGAAAAGGACATCCCCACTTTAAAGATGACTTGGAACATGACTTTTCAACCGATCTCCATTTGGGGACCCAGATGTACCAAGGAAGGCTTCCGTGAGAGTTCAGGGCTCGTCAGGCTTTCAGGGGTCCGAAAGCCTGACCGTTCAGCTTCAGCTTGACCGTTCAGCGCAGACCTGGCGGACCTGGAGACTGTAGGTTCGGATGCGGCGTGAAGGTTCTAGGGAAACCCAATAAAAATAGCTTCGGGAGGCCAGTCCCGTGTGAGGTTTTGCCATGAAAACCCATGAAAACTGCTGGTTAGTACACTTCTTTTCTGCTGAAGTCTTCGATATTCTGTATACTTGTTCCTTTAGAGCTCATCCGTCCATGTTTATTTCGTGCAGCCGCAGCTCACTCCCCGGAATCATCGCTTTAAGTGGACCACCACCAGGACCAGTCGAGAAGAATGCTCGTCCGGAGGGCCGTGCTCGTCCGGAGGGCCGTGCTCGTCCGGAGGGCCGTGCTCGTCCGGAGGGCCGTGCCATCCACGAAAGCTTCGTCCGGAGTTCCCGCTGTCCAGTGAGGTCTGGCTTGTGCAAGCCATGTGCGTGGCATTGGAAGAAGGGCGGCCGGGGGTCCTGAGGTCCTTTGGGCTTCGAAACCACCGGGAAACCGGCCCCGTTCCTGTGCATGACATGTACTGCCGGTTGAGCGCAGGTTGGCCGGTTGGACCCTTTTCTGGGTGATGTTGAACTGTTGCTTGGTTGGTGTGTGGTGGTTTTCACGTGTTCAATTTGATAGATTCATTCCTGGTGGTGGGTTTCGGCTTGTACATGTCAATGCCGTAGAATTTGGAACATGCCGTATCTCATCCGTCGACTTGGTCTGTCGAAATCAGCAGCACCAACCAGCAGCAGCAACCCTACACTCGTTTTCAAGACCTTTGGACCGGTTACTGACCTCTCAAAGCACATGTGCCAGATCAATCAGAAGATCTGTGGCTGCCAGATTCCTATGCCCCAAAACCTTTTCCTCCATAAGGCCTGGGTTTGATTTCGTTTTTTGAAGTATATATATATATCGTGGATTGAGACATCACCAAGTTTGGAGGTTTACACAGGTCCCCATGTATGTCAGACATGTTTGGGTGCAAGTGCCATCGATACATTGAAACCACCGTAATTATTCAAAGAACCCATGAGCCCTATATGGATCCAAGTACCTTCTCAGAAGGTACTTGGACCCTCCAAACCTACATAAATAGTCTCCAATCACCTGAGAAGGTACTTGGATCCCCTAGGGAGTGTTGTTACCCTAGGGCTCCTGGCCCCCCTCGGGTTCGGTAATTAGACCCACCTGGCACCCACACCAACCACCCACCGGTCACCGAAACGGTGGTGGGCCAGCAGCCCAAAGGGGTTATTACGTTCTATATGGATGTTTTCTGACTCCTTTTTCTAAAGCCTGCCATTCCCAGACACTCTATGTATGGAATGTATGACTACATTGACCCCCCAAACCACCAACTGATCGGCATATATATGACAGTCCAATTGAGTGTTTGCCATTGTTCTTCTCGTCGATCACCTCTCTGCGGTCTCCCAGGTTGCAAAAACGGCGCGGAGTGCAGGCGCCGGTCGCCTGAGGGTGTCGGACCTCGTGAGGAGAGACACTGGAGCTCTAGCTAGACCTATATGGTAGATCACCACCCCCAGACATGTTTTTTCACAGACGGTTCTTCTATGTTCTTTTATAAGGTGTATTGTTTAGATAGATAGAATTGTATAAGGAGCATGTGCACAGGGGTTTAACTGTCAAAAGGTCACTAGAGAAGATGAACAGCCCTATAGCCTATGCCACATGTATCACGTCCCAGCTCAGGTCTCTCAGCCTCTCTCTTGTTCCTATTTTGTTCAGGGGGTCCATGGGAGTGCATGGATTCAAGGTGTCCTTGTCCCCACAAAACATGCGACTCCTGTCCTGGCCCCCCCAAACAGCAGGGGACCACTCTCCAGGCTCTCAGGTGCGGGTCAAGGCGTCCTCCGTGGGTGGCGTCGGATGGGTTCGGTGCCAGGCATTGCCACAAGTGTCCCAAAGGCGAGGTCACCAGGCGTAAGCGCTCCTCGGAGGGGACTGGAGGCGTGGACACGTGGACACGTGGACGTTTGTGCTTGCAGACGCTTCTGAGCCGCTTCTTCGCCGCCCCCAGAGAGAAGGGAGCCGTTTGTGCTTGCAGCGGAGTTGAGTGGTGTGTTTGTTGAAGAAAGCACCGTTCAAGAAGCTGGAGTTGCTGGTCATTCCGCTGAGGGTGGAATTAATTATGTGGAGGATACCGTATTGTTCACCAAGCTTGGTGCTGAGACAGGAGATGGCAGTGGAGGAAAACGCTGGTCGTGGATCAGCAGTTTTCAACACCGGGAGTGGGAGGGCATGGAGGACCAGACGCGCTGGATGCTTTAATGATGTTCGATGTATATCCCAGGGCATCCAGGCAAACCATGATGTCGCTGGGAGTCCCAGTGGTTCCAAAGACTAAAACCATAGACCGAACGAATCCCTGGTTCCTTATATAGTGGTAACTGGGATGCACTGGGTATATTTTATACATTTATGACGCTCTGTGAGTTCACAGCCCAGTTCCCGGTCCCTCAAAACCGAAGTCCTGGGATTGGTGAGAGGGGCCCTTCAGAAACCCCTCCTTTAAGGATTTGAGTCAATTTTTTGGGTCTGAGGGTTCATGCGCATTTGGGTAGTTGATTAATAAAACACCCTAGTGGACCCTCCCTACTGAGTCAGTGGATAACCTTGAACCTTTTTGAGGGATTGGATTAAAAATCCAACAGGTGGAGAAAGGTTAACCTATATATACCCTCATCCTCAGAGACCTCTCTTTTGGGATGCCTTTTGAGAAATCCGATCCTTCGGTAAAAAGAACACCTTTTGAGGCCAGGTGCGTATTTTGTAAAAGGGACGTATTTTGATTACATATAGGGTTGTTCAAGAAATCGAACCTCACTCAAAGGGATCCATGATCACAAACCATTGATCTTGGAGGGGCAATGCACTGAAGCAGGCCATTTTGTGAAGGGTTGCCTGTTCTTTGAGTTAGTGGTTGTTCGATGTTTTGGGGAAACAGCCACCTCATGGTAACCTCTCCAACCATCCGCTCGCCCTCAAACCCATTTTCATCGCCGGAGCGGAGCGGGGCAAGAGCCCTTGGTCCAGCCAGCACCTTGGCACCAAAGCGAAAAGGACAGGTGGAGTGGAAGGGGGGGGAAAGCCAACTTGTCAGAATTTAACTTTTAGTTTTCTCAAGGGTTTTGCAAAAGTTTTGCATGAGTCAGCTATGACATTCATGCACCTCTCCTTATCCTACCACCCCAACCATAAAATACAAAGAACATGTCAAGTCCTTTAACCTCTTGGCATGGCCCCAGGTAGTGGGCCACTTGGAAGGGTTACAGTACTTCATATCATGCTTGTCAAGCATGCAGCAAAAACTGCTGCTCAATCGCTGCTGGCCCAAGCACAAGGGTTTCATTAGGCTGTAGCGTCCACTGCTTTGAGACTATAATGGCAGACCACCCGCAGCTTCAGGGGCTTATGGAAGAATGGGATCAGTCACCAGCAGTTCGAGAGCACATGAGGACTAAGGGGAAACTCTTTGCTCCCCAGCCTGACTGCGATGAGGTGGCAGTGAATGTTGGTTGTGGTGAGGTCAACTATGAGGCTTTGGCCCCCTTGGCGAAAAGACTTCGCCTTGCAGATGGCTCTGTGGGCCAGGTTAGGGTCCCAGATGTTGTGCGGGAGCCACTTTGGTCATCTTTGGTAAGTTTTTGAGTGTGTGTGTGTTGTTTTTCTTGTTTTTTCGCAGCTTCGTCAGAAGGTGCCTGCTTCACTGCAAGCTTGAAAACCTAGGATCACGAAGCTCTTTCGCAAGATGCACATCCAGCTGCCACCTTCGAAGGAGATCAAGAAAATGGCCAAAACAGCAAAAGCTTTCATGGTCTTGGTGAAACGCAAGTTGGGTCGTGACCAGACTTGTCGCAGCAAGCCCTTCCGGTCATTGATGGCGCTAGTTTTTGACAAGGACATGGGAGCCCCTGACAGCTTGTGCATGGGATGTTGGGCTTTTCTCAACTAATGTTTATTCACTTTCACCTTCTTTTGTTTTTTGCAATCAGCTGGCAGGATCCTGCAGAAGTAGAGGAGGAGGATAGCCAAGTGCCCGTGGAGAACCAAGTGGAAGACATGGAATGCATCGATTTGGAAAAGGATGCTGAGATGGCTGAGTCAGAGGCCCCTGAGGAGGAGGAGGAGGCCCCTCAGGAGGAGGCCCCTCAGGAGGAGGCCCCTCAGGAGGAGGCCCCTGCCCATGACGTTGAAGTTGAGGAGGAAGAGCCACTTCCAACACTTGTCGACATGGATGTTGAGGATTCTCAACTCCTAGAGCCGTTCTTTGAAAATCCAGTCCAAGTGGCCTCACAGCATTCGCCGCCCAAAGGCATTGAGCCAGACATGGGTTCTCTTAACAAAGTGACTATCATTGAGGATTCGCCACCGCAGTCAGTGCCTTCGCATGCCAACAGGGATGCAGAAACCCGCCAGCAGATCAAGGAGCTGACCAAAAAGCTGGCCGATGCTAAGCGGGAACAGCGAGCGAGGTGCCTCGCAAACAATAGTACTATATTTTGTTGTTCTGATTAGCTCCATGCGCTACTTTTGGGAACCTTCTTTGCAAGTATTCTTCCCCTATTTCAATTGCTGCCCAATGTCAGGCAGGCACATCGGTCCCTTGAAGAATGCAAGCCAAAGAAGCCGATTATGGTCCTTGAGAGCTTGCCACTGGGCACTGATGACGTGGAGACCCTGGAAATGCCTGCTTCCGAGCTCAACGCCTTGGCGGAGGCTTTCCATGAAAAGACGCCTGAAGCTCCATCAGCGCCAGTGGTGGCTTGGGTATTTCCAAAAACTCTTTGTTCTTTGGCTTTCTATGGGCTCTGGTAATGGTCTTTGGGTTTTGGGGGTGGGGCTGGGTCAATCAAGATTTGATCAAGCATTGCAACCAGGGTCTCTGCATTTTGGGGGTGGGGCAAATCAAGATTTGATGCCAAGTCAGGTCTTGCGGCGGTTTCAGTTTGCCTTGAAGGCTGACTTGTCGGAGGAGCCGGCCACCAAGGGACGACCTAAGGGCGAGGCAAAAGCCAAGGCTAAGGGAAAGGCCAAATCTCGGGCCAAGTCTGCTGCATCCAAGAAAGGTAGGAAAGCTGCTGCAGATGCTCCAGAGGAGTCGGCAGAAGCAGCTGCCGTTGACCCCAAACTGAAGGCCAGTGGTGGAGAGTCGAAGGCTGATGAAAGCATGGAGGTGGCTGAAGCCGAGGAGGAGGGCCTGGATGCCAAGCCCAAGCGGAACTGCAAGAAGAAGCAAGAGACTGCTGGCAGTGTTTCAGAAAAGGGTTCCAAACGGCGACGCCGTGCCCCCAACAATGCATCGGAGCAGAAAGGTCAGAAGAAGGAGCCTGACGCCCCGGAGGAAGTGGTTGTGGAGGGGGGCGAGAAACCTGAGGAGGAGGTGGGCAAGAAACCTGAGGAGGAGGTGGGCAAGAAATCTGAGGAGGAGGTGGGCAAGAAATCGGAGGAGGAGGTGGGCAAGAAACCTGCCAACATGAGCGAGCCAAAGGGCAGTGAAGGGAAGAAGCGAAAGGGACATGCCTCGGAGGTGCAGGAGAGGACCTTTGCGCGGAGGGTCCGGCCCAAGACTTCGTTTCCTGAAGCAAAGTGGGTGGCGCTTCGTGACGCTTTTGCATCTCACATCAAGCCAAAGGTTTCGAAGCCCTCCACCCACGAGGACTTGTTGTCTCCATGCTTGATGTTGTCAGCTTTCTTGAGCCTTATTGTTTATAACATTATATTAAACTTAAATGCAATCATCTAGAACGTGAAATGATGCAGACGGTAAAGGTCTTTACCGTCTGCATGGATGACCCCTCGATTCCAGTGGGCATGGTGAATCTGTTACATCGATCATTGCACCTTATTTGCCCCCCAGTTCCACCATGGATAAATCCCAGTATAATGACTGTGTCCTTTCCGATCGTAGCCGACCTCGTTTGCGACAGGTTTTGACTATAGAGTATAGAGTAGCAATTCGCTACATGGGCGAACCTTGGTGTCCCACTCTTCTTTTGAAAAACCTGTGAGGACCCATTCTGGAAGTTCGCTACTCAAACAGCCTGGGCCAACAAAGAGATCGACATGTCGAATGTCCATACGATGGCATCAGATGCAGCCGAAGAGTACGTCAACAAGCACGTACAGTGAGCTCTAAACCCGTGCGCAACCCTTTCTTCCATCCAATACGCCACACAACCAGGTAGTTTTTGAGGTGAAGCCGTGGTCTATTTTTCACTTGTTACATTCAATAGTCTTTGGAGTTATGTTGCATATACGCTGTGTTCGGAACATGTGTGGGTTGAAACTGGGGTGGCTGGCACCTGTCATCTGATCTGCAGATGTCATATTCCGCGTTGAACAACGCTTGGGGTCTAGATTCTTAGTTATGGATACTTTGCAGGACATAGATGTCTTATACAAGCAGGAGGAGCCCTCTTGAAAGTAATTCAATCCTAAATCATCTTGAGCAAAACCGTGGTGATGATATACAGGATTTGCTTCCACGAAGGGCTGCCACTGTTTGCTGACTGGCCCTGCAATGATCCATGTCGCAGCTAGCCGTGGGAAAAGCATGGCCCAACCTTTGTGAGTCCAAAGGGGTAGCCCGAAAGACTGTGCACTTTGATGGAGGAAAGACATGGGGGTTCAATCCAAACAGTTTTTTGGAACAAGTTCACCCTGCGGGTTGTATGGTTCTTTTTGCTTCCCAAAGACAACCTCCAGCCCCAAAATTACTAAGCCCTGACTGACCAGGACCCTAGAGCAAACAATGCTTTACAAAACCTGACCTGTTTTGCCCTTCGCCCTTCAACCTTTCACGGTCGACGTGACCAACCACCCACTTTGTGATCCGAGGCGCATGGCACCATGGACCGTGGTCAGCCCGGCCTGGCCGAATTCCACGTGGGTTGGAGGGTCAGATGGACTGGAATGCCAGTTGGTCAAACATGTTTCGGAGTGAGCTTTTGGCCATAGCCATTTGTGTTCCCTCGACCACTGCAGAGTTTTGTTTTTGCTAGCCATGAACGCGAGAAGAAAGGCAAAGTTGGACCTTGTCCTTCACCGCATGTTTCATCTAAAGGCACCTAAGGCAAGGGGCGCTTACTGTTTGACTGAGAGATGGTGGATGCCCACATTGTAGAGGTCTTTGGAGGCTTCATTCAATTCAATGTTCTATGCAGGTGCTGATGGCCCTGACCATCCTCCTTTGCTTGAACCCGGAGATCTCTATCTTTGAGGAGGCGTTGTTTGGGAACACACCTGTTTACATCTCGACCCTCGCACATGGTGCAGCATTGGGTTTGCAGGCAACATGCTTTGGTATTCTGGTGTATGTGTGTGCAACATACTGCCAAAACAAGCCATGTTTTGGGCGCCTGAAAACCTTTTTCCCATGCCTAAAACAAAGTGGTTTCGGGCGCCGGCAAGAGCCCAATCTTTTGATTGTTATCCAAATTTGTTCTGTTCTACCAGCTCCCTCCACAATTGACCATCCCTCGCCACTGTTGGTCAGAAATATGACATTGTGGAACTCTTTGCTGGGCAAGAGTGGATATCCCGATGCTATAAACATTTTGGATATAGCGCTGCGGCCCTCGACATCTTGAAGGGAAATCCGGAGACATCCAAACAAGACTGCATGGATATTTGCTCTGACGCAGGCTTTGCGTTCCTTTTCCAAAGGTCAGGAAAGGATTGGAGGTTTTTCCTTGAAAAGATCTAGTGGCGCCTAGCCGTTACAAACTAGTTGTCTTTCCAAGGCTTGCCCTGCTGACCATACTGAATGGAAAGTTCGATGCGATGGTGTGCTTCATCGGGCTGGTTTGCAGTTCCTTCGTGACTATATCCTCAGGTACTCACTATCGAGCTCCATGGGATCCACTGGGTCGAACACATATTGGCATGGTTAGTCTTGGCAACCTGCTAGCTTCACGGAGCCTAAGCACACTGTAGAGCTCTCGCCCACCAAACCCAGGAATATAGCAACTATGTTTTTGGTGGGGTCTACTCTTGACAGTCTACCTATGGGGTGAGGCTTCGCAGGAAAATTGGAAATTGTTACCCGTCCACGTCGTCGGCCCAGGACAGCTTTATTGATCTTTGCAGTGGCGGCTATGAATGGAGCCTGGGTTGTGGAACAGCCAAGAAGCTCGTTGGTACACTGGCACCCGAGATTCCGGGACTTGTGGCGATCCCTTCCGAAGGTACGTAAGAAAATACAAATCTATGGGAACAGTATCCTAGAGCCTTCAAAGGTCATGTATTGTCCATCAGTTTAAAACACTTCCTGTTAAGTGTGGGCCCTGTATGTACTGCATTTGCTTTGAAACACCAACTCCAACTTGCCCCTGGCCAAAAGCCCTGAGATGTTAGCAGTTCAACCTGGCTTCAAAATGAAAGCTTGGAATCTGCTTAGCCCTTGAGGTCTACCAGGCTGCCTGGTGGATGGGGGCCTATGGCTCTCTCACCATGAAAAGGCACATTGCCTGGTCGAACTGCAGGTCCGTGATGTGCTTCGACCTTGGCACAATTACCAAGGCAGTGCAGAAGAAGAAGTTCAACCACCAAGCCAAGTCGGCCCGCACCTATAAAAACCGACGTGGTAAGAAGGCCTTTCATGGGACATCTTTCTTAAAGGGTACACAGAAACTCACAAGCAGTTGGTGTGTTGTCTTTTGAAGTATTGGGCCTCCAGGCCACCCCATGAAACGATATGAACACTGGTGCCTTGTTGATGTTTCTTGCATGTGTCCCTATGAAAAGATTTGGGAAAGGCTGGCTGCCCCGTTCCAAAGGGTTTGGGCACAGGCATGTTAAACATGTCAGAACTTATGGTTTTTCCTCACCCTGAATCATTCCAACGCAGAGTGAAAGACAATCAAAATCAATCAACACATATCAAACCATCCACCTTTGACTTGGTTGTAGTCCCCTTGGTTTTTCACTATGCCTTGGGACTTCTAAGGACATATCCGCCAATGTTTGGATTGAAAGTGCTACGTTTGCACCATCGCTTTTGTACCAGGAAGGAAGCGCTCCCCAGATCATGCAGCGAGACCGTCCCGGATGGTTTCCAGCTGTTCAAGTCGCTTCCGTGGGAAGATTGGTGGAATGATGCAAACACCAAATCGGTGTTTGCATATTTGAGGGGCAGCCGTGATTTAGAGCTTGGGGAGTGGCGTGAGTTGATGCCAACTCACATCTAGCCAACTCAAGGCCCGAAGTTGCAGAGTTTCAATCGGCTGCCCTTTGCACCAAATTCGTCTACGCCCCATATACTTGATGTCCAGGGTTGCAACTCTTCAATTCTACAGACTTAATTCAGGACTTTGACCCTGATCATCCGCTTAAAACTGACATTGCCAAAGCAAGACTGCTGTGTCATGGTGATGTTTTGGCAGAGTGCTTTCAAAGCCCCACCAGGTCATGTTGAATCTTTGGGTTTCTAGGCTTTCGGGCACATTTGAGAAGATTCACAACCCTGAAATAGAAGATCTTAGTGATTTTTTGATGATTTTTGAGGCTACCGTGGAAATACATACCAGGATCCGGAAAAACTGACCCGTATAAGGAACGTATTTTACCCGTAAAGGGGCGTATAAATCCGTACTAGAATACGTACTATTTCCGTACCGGAGGGTTTGCTTGTTTTTATGGATTCTGACTGATTTTGGAAATCTTTAGAGGGGTCAAGACAAGGGATGTTGGTTTCAAACAGGTTCTGAATGATTCTGACATGTTCTGACCCACGTTTGCAAATCCTTGGCCCCATTCGATGCTGCCTTGCTGCATGAGATCTCGGCTCTGCTCCAAAGCTGTTGCCTGTCGCACGTTTTCGACATGCCAGTGAAGAGGGAACGCCAGGCGGTTCCTTCAAGAACGTGGTCGTGTAGTGAATTGAAAGATGGGCATGAAGGTTTACTTCAGTGCAAAAAAGAACATGATTCGGATCTCGTTGCCAAGATTCAGGACCGGAGGGTAGGTGGTAACAAAATGTTTGCATGCCATGTGTATTGCGATGTGAGAAAGGCTTGGAAAGTACAACAGTTGGGTCATGTTGAGTTAGCCCAGGTCTTGTCGCTGTCAACTGTGAAGGACTACGAACGCATGTTGGCAGACCTGAAAAAGAAAGTGGGTATGGAAGTTTCTTGGAGTTTCTACTTGGGTAGGTGCTTAGTCTTTTTGCTTTCGGTTTGCAACTTTGTCATGTCACTGACAGACATACACCAAAACATAAGTTGTAGAATGACAAGGGTGTTCTATGAAAGGCCTGGACCCCTATCAAACCTGCTGAGGCTCATCAAGCCCAGTCAGATGATGATACTATCCCGGAGTCTTGGCATACATACCTTTCAATATACGCCAACCTGCGCACAGGTTGATTGCAAATTTGTTGCGATAAGTCTCTGATAAGTGCAGTGTAGATAGGCAACCATTAACCATGAGGCAGATGAAGATGAGTTGCCTCCCAAGCAGGCCAAGTGCAAACCAGCCCCCAAACCTTCTGCGAAGGCTCAAGCAAAGCCTAAACCCAAGGCAGCAGCAGCCAAGACCAAGGCCACCCGGGTAGCAGATCCGAAAAGCACCAGCATGTCTCCGGAAAAACCTTCACCTAACCCAGCCCCGCTGAAGCGTGCAAGAGGCAAGCAACCGGAGGCAGACCAGGATACACGCATCCAAGAGTTGATGAAGGCAGGCAACACTGGGCACTTCTAACTTCTAGTCTAAAACACATTCTAAAGATGTATGCTATAAGCCTTGAGTCTCATATGTTGCAGTTCTTGCAGGCATAGATAATAGAAATGGGTTGCGTTTGAGGCCAACGAGCGGTTGCAGCATCAGATGGCGGAGATGATGCGGAGCCAGTCAAAAGGCTCTACTGTCACCCCCCCACCCAAGATTCGTGCCCCTTCCCCGCAGAAGCCACCAGAGGTGCCAGATTCCCCTACGACTTCAGAGTCAAAACCTGCAGCGACTAAGAAACCTGAATCAAAACGTGGTAAGGAAATCATACCACCCCCAGAGAAGCCAGCACCAGCAACGGAAGCAGCAAAACTGAACAGACTCCGGCGGCTCTGCGAAAAGAAGCCCAGTGGCCGTTGTAACGTGCCACCCGAGGTGCATGATCGGTGGAAGAACCATATCGATCAACGCGCAGCCGTGATTGAGGAACTTGATCGCTGCAACTGGAGCAAGGACTGCAAGCTTAATCTGCGTTCCGTTTCACGGCAAACCTATTGAGCCCATTTTGTGGCTTTCTGCGCAGGAATTGTTTGTCGCCCGCATCACAAAGACAATCGCATCCAGCAAGAAGCTGTCGCGTAAGAAACACCGGGGCTGGTTCACCAAGGAGCAAATGGCAAAGACCTTGCAGTGGAGCGCGCTCCTAGACTACGTTTGTTCTGTTGCGCAATCCCTCATGTTTGTTTTGTAGGATGGGGCTGTGCTTGCATCGGCTCAGGTCATACATCAAAAGCGTTGTTGAGTACTGTGAACGACCGGGCAACGAGCGACTGGTGAAGAATCTTGCTCTCAACTGCGCATAGCACTATAGAAATTTATAGTTCAATTATGTTCAATGATTTGTGGATTTTGTTGTAAAGCTCAGGTTTTTCCAAAAGCCAATTCCTTTCTGAGGAGTAGTGCATGAACTCATTTGCTACAGTGTATTCTACCAGCCTTGAAGTCACTACCAGGAAGGACCGCTACAACCCCAAGCTAATGAAATACTACGTGGTCTACAAGGAAGATGACGAGGAGATCTCGGAAGATGAGGAAACCCGACGTCACGAATCCCAGGAGGCCTCATCCATTGTCCAGTTTCTATCCATGTAGATCATGTAGGGCCCATGCAACCACTGCCTCAGGCCATCGAGGATGATGTCGAGTTCACGCGGCTGGGTGTGGTGGAAGAGGGGAATGAGAGTGAGGAAGAGAGTGAGAAAGAGAAGGCGGCCAATCAGGCCAACTCTGCCAAGCAGGATTGGGACTAAAGGCGTTGCAGTTCCCCCTTCACAGTCACATGCGTGCCTCCGTCCAAACCTAAAACTGCAATATACAGCCACCAAAACAAGTCTTTTTGGAGGGGCATCCTTATCTCCCCAGGAGTATCTCAAATTTTGCACCTTCACCAATGCCTTGCTCTCCCGCTCGAACAAGCTCACTGATCTGATTGCGTCGATGGAGTTTGAGCTTGGATCAAGGAGCAAGGACTCAACTGAGGGGAAAAGAGTTGAGAAGTCTCGTACTTACCGGGGTGCGATATCTTGCATGGTTCAAGTGTTGGGCTCCCCTTTCAACCCTGTACTATCTTCCTATCTCTGAGGTCCACCAGATCTTTGGAAGATGCTATTCAGACTTTGCAGTCAGAATACCAAACTTGCGACTCTGTCAAGTTTGATGCGGCGGACTTGGCTGACAAAAACACTAGCGAGCACGAAGCCAAACCGCCCCTTGTATCAATTGTACCAACTCCGATTTTGGGGGTCAAGAGTTGGTCATTCCAATATTTTTGTTGTGAGGCTTCTGTCCAAGATTGATGCCCAATCCCGTTCCACCATGAAAGCGTGCCTCGGCTTCAGAGCTTGCTTCCTCTTCTGAAGCCACCTGTAGCTGACCTTGGAACTTGGTGAGAGGGGTTGTTTTTGAGGTGCAGCAAGGTAACATCAGCAGAGGTTATGGCCAAGAACCTTGGCATGAAACAGCATTCTTGAGAATTGTTTACCTGGTCAACCATTCCCCCAACGAAAGTCCAATGCCAAGGAATGTGGTCAAGAACGTGCGGAAGCTCAATGACTCTGAGAATAACTGAGTCTGAATGGTTTTGGGGGGTGCGTTCTGAGTTTCAGAACCGGACAGCTTAGACATGACCTATGTCCATGGCTGGTGCTTTTGGGGTTTGCCAGTGCGCATGCCAGGCTTACACTTGGAAGCGCAATGCAAAAGTTTCCCTTAAAACCTACATGGGGTGACAATGTGGTATTGCCATGTAAAACCTATAGCCATACGGTGTGCCTGCTGGCATGGAACAAAGAGTGAGCCTAGAACATGTGCTTTCCAAAGGCACGTGCAAGCTCCTTGCGTTCTAAAGCTTAGTTGTTGAGCGACAAGTCAAAAAAAAAGATGTCAGAACATATTTGTGGCTTTCACGTGAACAAACTTCTTCATACTTGGAGAGTTCACCCCCATGCGGGGGAGCAGCTGTTGTCGTGGATCGTGTTTGATGCCAGGTCTCGACAACGATCGGGATGAAGTGCTGGCTGGCTACGCAAGACTCATAGCTGAAGGGGCCAGGAGCTGAAGAGTGCGAAGAGCGCCTGTCCTTCCAACAGAGTGCAGCTGCCAACACGAACCACTCCGCGCTGCTTCTGAAGTGTTGTTAGCTCAAAGTAGTGCGAACTGAACTCTTGGTCTGTGCAACTTCTGGTTTGATAATCCTAAAAGGTTGCAATCTTGAACAGCGTGCACTTGTTTCATACTTGTTTCTTAGAGTTCGGATCGATGGAAGATGATGGCCCTTTGACCTGCATCTAGCCTTCCATTAAACAGTGGACGGACGACGTTCGACTACACCAAAGGCTTCTCGTTTGCATCCAGAGTGCTGGCTGCATGGGGATCTCAAAAAATAAACCCTCAAATGCCACCTTCACTCCAGTGCATTCTTCCAACATTGGACATTCAAACAAAACAAACATAATCCAAATGAAACAGGTTGAAGGTCTGGGAACATGCTCAAACCAGGTGCAGGTTCATGCCAGCGCCTCTTGTGGTCGTGTGTGACACCTAATAAGGCCCCAACCATGGACAAACAACGCAGTTTCTTTTGCATGGGGTATCCACGAGACGTGTAGGAGGTGCGGCCGCTGGAAAACCATAATCTCCAAGGATTCCACTCCTCCTTCTTTGGCAGCACAGGCGCCCACCATTGCATAGAGTGGATTCGAAGGCATAGGTCTATACAGGCTATGATTTTGCTGGTTTGTGTTCCAAAAGGCTCAGTTCTACGCACGTCTACGCAGCCAGGTGAGGGGTTTGGTTTTGCTTTGCATCTAAGGAGTTCCCACTGTCCATGGCGATTATGATTATGAGTGAAGATGTTGTGAGAAAACAACCGAAGAATCCATTTGTTTGATCATTGGGTTCCCACACCGGTTTGGGCTCCTGCCTCCTAATTGGTGGCATGTTGCAAAGCCTGGCCTGAAAAAAAAGGTGAAGCGCTGTTCCACAGTGTTTTTTTGCAGCAGTTGTGAGCTTCTTTGTCAAAAGCACTTCACTTCAGGTAACATACTACCTGAAGTTGTTGCATTCTGTTACTATTCTTTGCGCGTCTGAGGCCTCTTGCTCTCACGTCGTCAGGGTGGCCAAGGCAAATGTTCGCCAGAACCCAACAGCCAGCAGGGCTTTGAGAGCCTTCGCGGCAGTTCGAGAAGAAGATGCTGAGCGTGGTGCTCGGCGTGTCTTCGTTGACTATGGCTACGCGGCGCCAATTCACATCTCCACAGTGAATTTAGGTGATGAGAAACACCTCGAGCATTTCCCTTGGATGAGGCTGAGTGATTGGGTGCGATACTTGGCTGACGAAAGCCTGCTTTCTCAACAGCTGGTTGGGGTGCAGCCCAGCAAGTTGAAAGCTGTCCTGGCAGAGTTTTGGAGAAGGTACCGGCACCTAGAGCCTTCTCACCCAGTCTTTCAGCGTGCAGATATCGCCCTGGATCGGCTGATTCCCTACTACACCCACACTGACGAAGGGCGAACAGTTCGAGATAGTGCGTTGTGGATATTGAGTGTCCATGGTGTGATTGGGCGCGGGACTGCTTCTTTTTTGAAGGCAGGGCGCCACAAGGCACCAGTGCACAGGAACTCTTTGGGGCTCAACTATGTTGGCAGCACATGGGGGACGCATTGCTTGATAGCGACGATGATGAAGTCAGTAACTTCACATCCAGGAGCAATGGACAAGCTGCTGCAAGCCTTTGCTGAGGATGCCAAGGCTCTGTACAATGATGGCTTCACCTCGGAGACTGGTGAGCAAATGTGGATGGTGCATTTTGCCTGCAAAGGTGACCTGCCTGCCTTAGCAAAGGTCGCCAATATGACCAGAACCTTCAGTCATGCTCCGAAAGCAATGTCGACCAGAAACCCAAGCCGTGGTGTTTGCTGGCTTTGCTCTGCTGGTCAGGAGCATGATCCCATCACAGGTCGTCAGGCCTACCCGTACGAGGACCTGACCCCAACACCTTGTTGGGAAACTACAATGTTCCAGGAGGCTGCCTGGCAGACTTCACCAACGATCCTTGAAGGTTTGGACCTCAACGAAGCACAGCAAATGGCTTTCTTCCAGACAGACCTCTTTCACAACCTTCATTTGGGGGTTCTCAAGTCCTTCACCTCCAGCGCCATAGTGAGCTTTGTCGAGGCCAGCCCAAGTCTTGAGTGCTTGGCCAGCTTTGGGTCAGTGGAGAGCAAGTTCCAGGAGCTGACAAGATTATACCAAGAGTTTTGTCGCAACAGGAATGTGCGACCCTATTTGTCGGAGTTGTCTCGTGACACGATGTGCTGGCCCATGAGCTCGGCATGTCCAGCAGCAAAGTGGAACAAAGGTCAAGCCACTGCCGAAGTGGCAAGATTTGTGGATTGGTTCTGCAAAGAGTTTGTTTCTGGAAAAGTGGATGATGCCAAGTTGAACTCCATTGCGCCTTGTTGTGCAATTTGCTGTGCAATTGTTTTTGCGTTTTTTTTTGCCACTTGTTTACGTTGCGCCCTGAAGTTCCCAAACTGTGCTTGACTAGTGCCCTGCAGGCAGCGGCGGTCTCAGCCATCAACATTTCGATGACCTTTCTCTACCAGAATGGCCTTTTCATTCGTGCAGCCCATGCAAAGCAGCTTTCACAGTGGCTTTTTGTCTTTCTTGGCCACTATGCATGCTGTGCAGAGATATGCCTGAGAGAGCGCAAGCGTCGCTTTCCACTTTACACAAAGGCCCACATGTTGGCTCACGCCGCTCTTTTGTTGCGTCGCTCTTCTGAGAGAGCGCCCTGGGCGCTGTCGCCGCTGGCGACAGCGTGCCAGATGCAAGAGGATTTCATCGGAAAACCTTCTAAAGTTTCCAGGCGCATCAATGTGCGTCAGGCACACAGGAATATCCTGTGGCGATGCTTGATCAAAACAAAGTTCTCTTTAATCGCTGCTGCGCAAGACATGCGCGGCATGGATGCCTACCCAGGTGCATAAGGTCAATGGTTCACAAGAAGTTTTTTTTAGAAATGTTGCTGCTTGGTTTGCTGCCTTTGGGCTTTGGTGGGTAGGTGTTGTTCCCCAACTTTCCTCCTGGACGGAGGGAATGTTGAAAGATGGCGACAACAAACTAGCAGAAGAAAAGTGGCTTGGGAGAAAGGGACGTATTTTTCAAGCAGGGGCGTGTTTTGCAGTGTGCCCTCTGAAGCATTGCGAAATACAGGCTCTTGAGCAAAAGAGCTACCTTAGCGGTTCAGGGTATTATATATATATATATAGTTAACCTTCATTCGGCCCGGAAACTGAAGGGGATGGCCTCTTCGTAGATGGGATCATATGGGGCTTGGACTAAGAACCAGCTCTCCACACCCTAGGGCTCCAGGTGCCTCCTCAGAAGGTATTTGGACCCTCTAAACCCACCCCAGTCCCACCTTCTCAGAAGGTATCTGGAGCCTCCCAGGTGCCCACGTCGACCCCACCGGCCAGACGCCCCGTACCGCACCCAGGTGAGGCGCGCCGCTTTGGGCGGCGTCAGCGGTACCTCGATGAACAGCTGGAGCACACGCCGAGCGAGACCAAGAGTGAGAAGAGCGCCTCGGTGCACGGGCCGTGACGTGCGGAGCTGCTTTGGAGGAACAGATGAAGAGCCATGCGTCTTCCACCAGCACCGAACCCAACAGGTCTCCTTTGGAGGGTTGTTAGGCCCTAACAGGTTTCAGTTGGTGACCTGTTAGGAGGTGCTGGCAGTTGGACGGTTTCTGGGTGCTTTCTCCCAAGCTTGGGACACTTGAAGAACTGCTGGTGCGAGGGATCGGGAGTTGAGACGAGGGAAGACGTTGATGAAGAGAGCAAGAGATCTTTGGGAATGACTCGTAATTCTGGATGTGGGGCACCACCTGTCCATGCCATCCACTGCGGATGATTCCAGGAAGTGGGCCAGGGGCTTTCCCTATATGTGAAGACCTGTTATTTGTTATCCGATCCGTGGAGGTCTGAGCCAATCCCTGGCGATCCGTGGGGATTTGATCGTTCGAAGCCCTGGCCCAACCATCGTCCATGGCTACAAGACGTTTGGTCAACGATTTTGGAAGCACAGAAGGTGGCTACAGGCGCGTGGCAGTGCCTCTGGAGGCACTCGCCTTTTGTTTAAAGGAGGAAACGAACTTCATGGAAGTGGGGATTCGCCGCCTGCTTGTAGAGGTGTGTGGTCATCCGAGGGGCCATGCCATCATCCACTTCCATGACGATCATGATGCATGTGGTACTCTCACCATGACCCGTGAACCCTCCAGCGGTTCTTGTGACAGAAGCTGGCCTCAAGGTGAGCAAAGCTTCGTGACAGAGACTGAGCTTTCGAAGTGCGGAGGGGAAGTTGGGTAGATGGATTGCCCGCAAATCATTTAGCACCTACCCTTCCGGGTATATAGCATATGTTTGGAATACATACATGCCTATACCTCAAACCCCCTTTTAACAACCCCTGGCCTGATTGGTAGATATGCCAGTCCCATGGAGTGTGTCAGCATTCACCACAATTCTGAGTGTTCCATTGTTTTATCAAACAGGGCTTGGCGGAGAAACACCCTGAGACTGAGACTCACTCACCCCCACCTGCCCACGCCAGCCGTACAAGTAAAAGATCAAGTTCCTGCAAAAAAGAATGTGTCAGTTTTAAGAGGTTGCATGTTGCGTTTTGCAATCCCAATTTCCTGGTTATGTATAACTGCTGGGTTGGTTTTTGGGTATGTCTAGCAGTTTTGGAAGCCGTTCTGAGCAATCAACCTCAAGCAGACACAAACAGGTGGGAGAAGGCGATGGTTACGGTAGCGGTTAGAGAGGGTCAGAGAGAAACAACAGAAGCCAAAGCACCACCCCGTTCAGTTGGTTGTTACAAACTTCATCAGACTCCCCTGACCACATGTTCCAACCTAGCTGCTCTAGTGCCAACATTGCACCTTTCTCCCCCACCTCAGCCACCTCAGCCCAGGAGACACCGGAGCATACACCATCGCACTCACCACGCGTTTCGCCGATGCCGAGCACCCCGAAAATGCCCACGCCGAGTCCCTACACGGTCGGACCCTGCGTGGAAGGCGCCCGGCCGCCGGCCGCCACGGTGAGAACTCACCGCGGACGACGGTTCGACCGTGCCCGGTCGAGCCGGACGACGGTGCGGACGACGGTGCGTCGACATCGTGGAACAGATCCTGAGCTAATCATAGAGTGCACTACTACCCCTAGGGATCCACATCCCGAACCTCAGAAGGTACGACTGGACCCGACAATGGCGCCTACATAAATAGTCTCCGTCCTCACCGTACCTGAGAAGGACGACTGGATCCCTATGGGCTTAGCACAGAGAAAGAAAAGCGTCTCCCCCCAGCCAAGCTGAGAGGCGGGAGATGGCGGGAGTGTTTGGATCGGAAAGCATCCCGGCTATCCTAGTCACGTTCGACGGAGTGGTGTGACTCGTCCCATCGAGTGGAGTAGCTGGACACCCCGAACAGCAATCTCCGTCCGCACCCCTTCGAGTCCTGTGACTGCTGGAAGTCTTTGGGGAATGAAAGCTTTTGAAGTGTCTAAGGCATACCGGTGAGACGTTCAAGTGAGACGATTTATGGCACCACGGGTCGCCTGTGGTTGTGTGGCCGTGGCCGCATGTGGCCGTGTGAGTCCATTTTCATGAAGCGAATCTCCTCGTCGAACTCGGTGTTTTCAGCGACGAGTTCGCCAGGCGGGTCGATGCTTCTGATTTTGGTTCCTGTGCCAGTCGCTTGGTCGACTGGATGGCTGTTGCGTCGAGTGATGCGGGGTGCCGGGGAGGAACTCCCTAAGGGGCTTCGATTGATAGCCCCAGATGTGAAGGGGTGTCCATGAACTATTTTATATATACTATACCAGGACCCTCCAACATGTCTCCTTTGGTGACTTTTGCAAACTTAAAAAAGTGACGGGTGGAGACCTGTTGGAAGGTGCCGGTATATATAGATTGCTTTTGTTTTGCTGATCTAACACAGGGAATTTGCACATACTGTTTGTTTTTTCTACTTTTGATCCTGAAGACGATCATAGTCTCGCGGGGCATCATTAGTTGCACTCACTTAGGATGAAGATGAAGTGGGGTCACACTTCCGGAGTATGTCTATCCCCAGCTCAGGGCCTCATTGCACCACAAAAAAGACCCCCAGACCACTCCAATGTGGGCAATGTGGCATTCATGGAGTGTTTGGTTTGGGTTTGGTTCTTTTGGTCGACCGAAGACTGCCGTCACGGAGCAGTGGCCTGGGCAGGTCCCGACTGTGGCTTTTGTGGGTCCAGCCATGGCTGGGTTTGAGAGCTCAGAGGGTGGGAGCGAGCCGCGTCGGAGACCGGCGGCCGGGCGGGTGAATGAGGTGCTAGACCGGCCTAGGGCGGGTGTGTCATTTTCAACCTAACCATCATTTTCCTTTGGGACTGCTGGGAATGGGATATAAAGGTAAACCATGGTAAACCCCAAGAGTCAAAGGACGATTAAAACAATACTTTGTTACAAGGAAGACTATTCTGGAAATGGTCGATGGCATGCTATGCACGGTCACTCATAAATGTATGCATGCAACTATTCCATACACGGTTGGGAAACCAGGTCAAGCGGGGGCGGTATTTCAAGGGTTCAATGTATGTAACCCTGTGGGCTTCCAGCTGCCTCAGAAGGTATCTGGAGCCCGGAAGTGCCATGGATGGTTTGGAACGTTCTACCGATCTTTGCGTTCGGAGTGATCTCTTTGTCAGTCGACTAACCACCCCTGCACAATAGTCGCAGGCACCTGCGCAGCCACGACACCCTCCGACACCCTTCGTTCTACACTCCATGGGACTGCCATATTTGCCGATCAGTTGGGGTGGTTTGGGGGTCAATGTAGGCATATATACGGCGTACATGGAGTGTTTGGGCTTGGACAATTGAGTGTGTGAGATCTTCAAACATGGACCCGGGTCGAATGGCACCCTGAAAGATGGGTTTTCCTCTATGCTGCGCCAGTGCTTGTCAGGGTCCATGTGAGTGTTCCACGGGGAAAAATAAAGTGCCTCCGGGGATTCCACTCTTCGCCGACGAGAGGAGTCCAATTCCCATGGATTTGCTGGTTCTTACAGCAGGATTCCATGGGTTTTACTGATCGATGTTGGACTATAAAAACAGGTCTTGGAAGGGACCTGCTGAGGACCTGCTCAGCAATCTGCACGAAAGCTATGGCCCACGTGGCCCCTTTTGGCGCGCCACGCGTCACGCGTTGGATCTCCGGCGATGAAGCGGGCGCGCCAACTGGCGCTTTCACATGCCGTATGTCCTGCGCTCAGGATCCCAGCGAGAGCGTCGTGAGGAGAGCGGGCGGAACTTCTTCATGGGGAAGAGACGGGCGGAACTTTCAGCGATGGCCTCGAACCTTAAGGCCCTAAGGGGTGGGCCAAGAGTCATACAGTGTTTAGTTTCCTCCAGTGAGTGGAGGTAGTCTCCTGCACCCCGACGACCTCCATGAATTAAGCACCCCGGTTGACTGTGACTGGGACAAAGACCTGTAATACACCTAATGAGTGATGACCTCCAACCTAATTCCCCAGGGCTCCTGGCCCACCTCCTGAGGTGACCGGTGGGCCAGGGGTGGGTGCCAGGGGGGTCTAACCACCGAACCTAAGGATGTGGGCCAGGAGCCCTAGGGATTAATCGCAGTGGGCCTGCCGGCGGGTTCGCACGCCGTGGGCACCATGAGTGACTCGAACGCACCAGTGACGGAGCACGAGCTCGACACGTTGCCTGAGAGACCCGAGCTCGACACGCAGCTCGACACCTTCTCAGACCATCCATGTGTATACATTGGGTCTGTCCAAGCTGACTTGTAACAGTCAGGTTTGGCGCAAATCACGATGTTTCAACAAGGCCCACAACTGAACCATCATCATCCACTGGGCTTTGGTAACAGGATGGGCCCAATGTATGGAATAGTTGCATACATTGCATA